TTATCCTTCAAGCAAATGATACTGCTGTTTCTTTGTTTTTTTGTTGTTTATAGAACAAGTGACAAGTGTGTGTGTGTGTGTGTGTGTGTGTGTGTGTGTGTGTGTGTGTGTTTGTGTATGTGGGTGGTAGTCTTATTGAGGAAAGTTCTGTGTTGCTGTAAATGAAAGGCACATAGAAAGAAAAGTGCCATACATACTGTGTGTGTGTGTGTGTTTCTGTGTGTGTGTGTGTGTGTGTGTGTGTGTGTATGCACTGAGTGTGTATGTGAGGCAACCAGAGTAATTAATCAATATAACATCCAAAGATGACAGCTCAAAAAACAGCAGCAGAATGTAGAACATCATGTCAACACTGTACAGAAACATCCTGCTTTGGGACTGTAGATTTGCCAGAGATACAACAGGCAGAGGAGAGAAGCTGTTTAGAAGTTCTGGCTTTGTCCCTCTGTACTGATGATGTCAAGTGTCATAGTATTTCTGGAGTTTATTGTGTTTTTGGTGCCAAAAAGTCTCCAAAATAAAACCAGAAAAACTAGATTTTCTTTCTTGCTGAGAGCCAGATGAAAAGATCGACAGCATGTTCATATTTGTATGATGAATATGAAGCTAGCAGTCAGTTAGCTTAGCTTAAGCAGGTTCATATTTATCAGACAGATACTGTATTAGAGTCACATCGGTCAATCTTCTCATCCAACCTTCAGCCAAAAAGCAAATGCACATATATCCCAAAAGTTTCCCTTTAATTGTAATGAGATCTACCTGCTATGGCACTATACATCACTGTATATAAAGATATGTAAATCTATGCATAAATAACAGAATGAAGAAATAAGCAGAAGTCACACCATCCAGTGCTCCTTGAGAAAAGCTTCCCTGGATATGTTTAGATAATTTCCTGTTTTCCTTTCTGAAAAACAGTAAATATGTAATTCAGTCTAATAATAGACGTCGTTGAACAAACAGCAGAAATAAACCCGTCAGTTTGACATGGATATGAACACTCCTACAGTATCAGACAGCCAGGCAGTGAGCAGGATTTATGCAGAAGGTGGAGTTACGGGACAAAAGTGCTGGATCTGCGGTCACAGAAAGTCAGCTGGGGCCTCACGGTGCTCGCCTCAGTCCCTGAGGGGATTTTAGACCAGCTCTGTTTGTTTAAGCTGGCTGCTCTTTTCCTGCAGGGACGGTAGGGATCATTGACTTGCCTCTGTTTTCTTTTTCTTTTATACAGGAGGCCACTTTAGGAGTGAGGTTAGAGAGCAGAAAATAGTGGCCTCTGTAATGACTTGTTTGCAGCCTCAGAGGTCCTCTGTGTATCGTTCGTCTTTCACTCTGGGGCTAAATGAGCAGTTTAAACTGAGGCTCAGTCAGTGTGTTAAAGTGGAGAGGTTCCGAGCCTTGGTCTGCAACTGCTGAGTAAGATGCTGTGTGGCATTAACAGCAGCAGGAGTGCTAATGTGAGGAGTCTGTGTTGAGAATACAGCCATTGTTTCTACGGGGGTGGAGGGGGTGAGGGGGGGGTGAGGGCCGAGGATCTTTCTCCTGTATTACAGACAGATGTCTGTGTGAGGGCAAAAACAGAACAACACGGCTGTTCTGTCATTACAACCCACAGACAGGTACATGTACATTCATGTACAGTAATAATACATGAAAAGCTACAGGAGGAGGTCTGCAGCATCCACCAGAATGTGTCTCTTTATAATAACTAAGCAGCTTAATTTTAAAAACCACGAGGCAAAATTCTATAGGGAATCAGTCCTGGAGTTGCAGTTTAGCTGTCAAATAAACAAGTGCATTTACCTCACTGTCAATCTGGGAGTAAAATATCAAGGTAAACTGTCTACTTAAAACTCCAGTTATTAAGTATTGCACTTCCTAAAGGTTGAAGCATCACTAGAGACAGATTAAAAAGAGAATGATCAGAATCAAAACAGCGGTCTGAGAGTCTGTTATATCCTGACTTTTAGAATTAAGCATAAGTCAAGATCTACATACACTGAATTCTTCATTAGCTCCTGTCTGCCTGGTGAACAGGTCCTTCACCCGCAGTTTCTTGTAACCAGGCTTCCTGATAAAAACTCATAAAGCAGTTGGGAAGCTCTCTCCAGAGCCACAGACGATGTGACACTGCTCCTTTTATAGGCTGAGGAGTAATAACTACGAGCTCCTTAAAGTACAGCAGCTCAAACCTGAACCAGGAGACAGCTTTATCATAACAGACAGTTTGTGCTGTAATAACATTTAAAGTGATATTTCAGGTTATTAGACGTGGGCTTGTGTGAGGTACTGATGGATAGTCAGTGTTTTACCTGCAGTAGATTCAGATGAGATCAGAAGCTGAGTGATGAGATGAGTACGATTGAACTACCGTATTCCAACGTACAAGAGCAACTACTCTTAGCTCTGTCTGACTCAAACAGCTGATCTGTGGAGTAATACAGTGTGCACCATAGGCTTGTGCATAGGAATACCATAGTTCATTAGTTCACAAACTGTAGTTCCAAAGTAAAGGTCTGTTTGATGTCATATAAAGTGTGAAAATATTCAAAATAAAGAGACACGACTGATATTAGTTTTCTGTCTGTGTGTATTTTTTAAAGTGTCTAAAACATGTTTCTCTGCTGACCCCGTCCACAGCAGCTCATCGCTCAGCTTCTGTACCTCTGCTCCTGCTGCTTCTCTGATCTGGATCTACAGCAGGTAACACACTGACAATAGATCAGTACCTCACACAACCCCACGTCTAATAACCTTAATTATCACTTCAGTAGTAACGGATTAAATCTTGTTTAAAGCTGTCTATAGCAACATGGCTGGATTAACCTTCTAGGAGGCCCTGGGCCAGAAATGAGCTAATCCAGTATATTAAATAGTCCTGGAGCTGCTGTGTGGTAATTTAAATGAACACAAATGAATCATTTGTATGCACCCTATGAGCACAGAGATAAAACAATGAAGGTCTTTAAAATATTCCATAGTCTCAAATAAAGTTACAGTTAATCAAATTACCACAAACCTATTGCCAAATAAAGAACCTGTGGCTTTAAGGGGCTCCTGAGGGTCTGGGGCTCCAGGGCAGTTCCCTGCTTTAACATTTAGCATTTAGCATTGTTATCAATGTCATCATTACCAGCAAGAATGATGTACAGAACTATTATTAATAAAACCCCTTAAATGTCTTTTAATTAGGGGCAGTTTAACTTAGTCTAAAGGACAGAGAGAGAGGTATAGTCTGATCAAACCAAAAAACATTATTTCTGGTTCCGTCAAGTGCAACAAAGAGATGCAGCATTTCCAAAAGTGTTGCTTTTTACTTTGAATTTGAAGTAAAAAAAAAAAAAATGACTGTCTCGCTCTCTCTCTCTCTCTCGCTCTCTCTCTCTACAGTGTGAGGGAGACAGGTCAGATGTTCTCTTGCCCCCTCCTCTTCTTCTCTCCCTCCTCTATAATGCTTACACAACAGCCTGTAATCCAATTAACAGCATGATGGAGTGTGCAGTTATTAACCTTGACATTGCTTAGTATTGCTAACATTAATCACATTACAGTATGAGATACAGTCTCTGATTCTGTGATGTGGGCAGTATATTATTGATATGTACACTGAGAGCAGCAGCTTGTTCTCATGGTGTGGCTGGGGATGGGATGTGGGGATGGGATGTGGGGATGGGATGTGGGGGTGGGGTTGTCCTATGAGTTTGCTTAACTGCAACGATGCACACTGAGCACTGAGTATGGATCTCTGAGGCTCTCATGGCCATTTTGGCACCAAATGTTTGACAACAGGAAATAGAAAATCACCCACAAATCTCTGATGAACTCAGACACAGAAGGACAAAGCCGTGGGCTGAAATGTACCATAAACCCTTCAGAAATGAAAGTGCTGTGATGCACTAATAATGTAGTGGCATCTGAGGCAAGTTGTGAAGAGAGAACTCAGCATGACAAAACTCTTAACAACAGTTCAACTTTCAAAAATCTTTTAAATTGTTCATCAGCCCAGGAAAACAAAATATTAAATTGTTCTCTTAGTTTAATGAACAAAGCAAATTAAATAATCTTTTGTAATTGCTGCTCGCAGCAACGTTTCAGTAGAAACTAAATTAAGCATGTACACAAAAGGATAATCTTAATTTACTGAAAGACAGACATGTTTGGTCATTGGAACAGAGGCTTTGTGGGTGTGGCCCTTGACGTGATGGCCCTGGGCGGGACGCGGCAACGCAGGGATTATTTCATCCAGTGCCTTTAAGCCTTTCACAACCGCTCAAGCTGTCTCTTTTCTTTCAACTCAGTGGCAGACTCACAGCTGGTGCGCCCCAGTCAGCGCATCCTGTACCTTCCACACTGCATCCAAAAGTATCAAGGATCGTTTACAGGCAATGATTTATTAAACGCTTCTATACTTCACTTTTGCGGCAGGTGTCTCCAGTTTCACAGGGTCCTCGGTGTGTAACATGAGAGGTCCCCCCTGCCCACATTATAATGACAGAGACCAGGGACAGTTTGGCTGTAGTAGTACTAGTCATAAAGGTCTTGAGAGTGAAGTCAGTAGCCGTTATAGGGTGTCCTTGAGGCGTTGATGAGCCAGTTGCCCTCTGAAATGTATGAATCTAATGAGGGCAAGGGTGATGGGTGCTAACACACCATGCTGGCAGCACAGCAAAGGACATGAATTGTCTTTTACAATTTGACGGAGTATCTCTATTGATCAGGGGGAGGGAAAGATAAGCTTAGCTCGCGCGATGCATCAGGGTCAGGGCGCGTGCGAGGTCGCTGTTTACTTTGCAGAATCTGAAGCAGCCTAATTTGTCAGCAGTTTGTTTAATCGTGTAGGGAACATCATCAGGAAAGTTCCCCTTTTAAAACATCTTGAAGACCTGCTTCACCCTCTCATGTCAGTCTTTGCATGCGTTTGGTCCATTCAGCCCATATTCTCATCCAGTCAGTGCTCTCTGGATCATCCAGAGTTGACTGGACATCCTCCTACTTATGCCCAGACAAGCACGCATTATTTTTCTTTCTTTCAGCATCTGTTTATGTTTATTTCAAACCCCACACCTGAAAGGTATGATGACAGTTTTTTAAATCAAGTTTGCTTCCAAAAAATTTTGCCCTTTACTGATTTTGTTGCCTCTTCTTAAACAAGGCAGCCATTCTCAGAGTCCCAGCTCTGTCCTCCATTAGTCCAGCCGGAGGTAGCTGGGTGTGGAGTAGTTGAACATGAGGAAGTCCAACTTGTAAAGCTGGTAGAGTTGGATCTGCTGTTGGGTGCTGATATTGCTGAAGAACTGGGCCGTCATGGTATCTGTGGTACGAGTGGACTTGGCGTAGCTCGGGAAGCGCAGGGAGTTGCCGACACCCACCAGCCGTAACACATAGTTTGCATCCTCCTCCAGTGTTTCATACTTGCCCACCAGGTCATAGTGGATGTGACATGGGTGGCAAAGCTGGTAGACGGTCTGCCAGTGCTCGTTGAGTGGGCCATCGCGCTGCGTGGCCGGGTCCACCAGGTACTCAGTGAATTCCTTGAATTTGACATCAGCACCATTGACAAGGGCGTCCTGTGTGGCATTCTTGCGGTAGCGCCGGACTATACGGGTGCCAAAGCGCTTGTGGAAGGATGAGTTGTACTTGAGAGTGAACTTGTTGCGGTATGCAGAAACCAGCCTCTCGAATGGCTCACGGACAAAGAGGAACTTGAAGTAGTTCTTGAGGCGGTGGTTGATCTCAGCAATGCTATACTGGTTCAGGGTCTTCAGGTTGGATGGAACATGGGCTTCATTGGAAGGGATTTCCATTGGGTCACTATGGAGAAGCACAGAGAGAAAAAATATGTACTTGTGTCTTTGTATCAAGTAAAGGGAAATGAATGGTCCCGAGTACTCTCTAAGTTCATTTGACAGTCTGACAGGTGCTACACTCACCTGTATTTGCCCCGACCTGTCAGCACCATCATGACACGTTTCCAGTTGGTGCAAGCCACCTTGGGGACATAGCAGTAGATGAGCTCATGGTCCTCGTCAACCACGAGGTGTTTCAGGTCTCCGGGTGTCAGGACTCGTCGCTTACGGCTGGAAGCACTGTAGACTCGACAGGAGTCCACTACCTGATCCCTCCTGGCCTGGTGGAGGACGGCCGCTCCTGACAACTCCAGCTGCTCAGGGAGAAACAAATTAGGAGGGAGGGGGAGAAAGGAAGAGACGTTACTGTGAAATTCAAATAAAAAGCTTTCGGGGAGGTAACCATCTGGATCTGGAGATCTGATTTTGCACAAAAACAGCACACTGCTTGTCCGTTTGTATCCAGCAGAACCAAGGCACTACTAGTACTGCTTATTTTTGCCTTAATACTTCATAATACGAAAACTATATTTTGTTGATTTTGTTTGTTGTTGATATTTGTAACATAATTACTGTTTCATACTTACTTCCTATCTCTATAATCATTTGTTGTCTTCACACCTTTTTTCTCATAGTTTCCTTGGCAGTGTAAGGACGATCTCACCGTGCCAATAAAGCACTTTAAAATGAATGAACCTGAAGCAAAATAGACGAGCGAGCGATGGGAAGACAGGCGGACAGTGAGAGGGTGTCATTAAGCTCAGTCTTTATTATCATCTCTTTACTGACTCTATCTTTTTCCCCTATCTGAGTCACTCCATAGTTATGATAGAGATTAGTCCATGGGTGTGGAGGAAAATAATGATATTAGAGGACATGACAGATATTGAGTGTTTAATATGCACAGATTCCACCAGCAATCATTCATCTGAGGCAGATTTCATATGCACCGTGACGCTTGTGATGAAGCGGACCTAGGCAGGATGGAAAGGAGGAAGATGAAGAGGAACGACAAGAGTGTGAGGCAGAGAGCACCCTGAGGGCTTTGCAACTGAAGGACAGGAATGTTTTCTTATGCTGCTTGATTATTTTTCCCATGCAGGGCAGTGCCCCGGTTTCGTTGCAGAATCTAAATTGATTGTGTTGTGGCCTGCATCTGCACGGCTCCAGCTCACTCACAAGTGTGGCCTTTCAGTGTGGTGCTGGCCAGAGCAGAGAGGGAGGGAGCGCTGCTGACATGAAGTGCTGAAATAACTCAGGGACCACCACTGAGCGCCATCCAGTTTAACTAAAGAGGTTTTATGTATTTCTCTTTGAAGTCATTCTTCAACCATGTCTGTAGGAGGACAATTCATCATGTGCGTGGGAGGAAACCAATCTTTTACACCCTTTTATCTGATGAAGACATACAAGAGCTGTTCTGTGATAAGTTCTCCACCTGCACATCAATTGTCAAACAGGAAAATACCATAAGTAAGTTTTCATGAAGGAAAGGGTCAGGCCAATCAGAGATATATCAGGATCATGTCTGTAAAAATCACAGTCTCTTACTTTCTCAATAAACTCTAGTATTGGATAGATACGTATGTGGAGATACAAGTTGCTCTCTGTCTTTGTTTCCTTTAGTTGCTTGAAGAGGTGAATTCAAAATTCAACAAACACAGGAATGCTGTTATTAATAATTTAAACATATTAGAGCAATGTCTCAGTTAAAAGCATTTCCCCTTGTTTCCGAGAATCATCTTTTTGTATTTAAAGCTCAATATTTTCTTCTTCTTCTGTGTTTTATTTTGAAGTGTTGATTCATAAGAAGATATATTTGTGGTTTTAAGAACCAAAAACCATCTCAATGTACAGGGGTTGGACAATGAAACTGAAACACCTGCCAATTGAGTGTTGGAGGTTTCATGGCTAAATTTGACCAGCCTGGTGGCCAATCTTCATTGATTGCACATTGCACCAGTAAGAGCAGAGTGTGAAGGTTCAATTAGCAGAGTAATAGCACAGTTTTGCTCAAAATATTGCAATGCACACAACATTATGGGTGACATATCAGAGTTCAAAAGAGGACAAATTGTTGGTGCATGTCTTGCTGGCGCATCTGTGACCATTCTCTGATGAGTCCACCTTTACTGTCTTTCCCACATCTGGGAGAGTTACGGTGTGGAGAAGCCCCAAAGAAGCGTACCACCCAGACTGTTGCATGCCCAGAGTGAAGCATGGGGGTGGATCAGTGATGGTTTGGGCTGCAATATCATGGCATTCCCTTGGCCCAATACTTGTGCTAGATGGGCGCGTCACTGCCAAGGACTACCGAACCATTCTGGAGGACCATGTGCACCCAATGGTTCAAACATTGTATCCTGAAGGCGGTGCCGTGTATCAGGATGATAATGCACCAATACACACAGCAAGACTGGTGACAGAGTGGTTTGATGAACATGAAAGTGAAGTTGAACATCTCCCATGGCCTGCACAGTCACCAGATCTAAATATTATTGAGCCACTTTGGGGAGTTTTGGAGGAGCGAGTCAGGAAACGTTTTCCTCCACCAGCATCACGTAGTGACCTGGCCACTATTCTGCAAGAAGAATGGCTCAAAATCCCTCTGGCCACTGTGCAGGACTTGTATCTGTCATTCCCAAGACGAATTGATGCTGTATTGGCCGCAGAAGGAGGCCCTACACCATACTAATGAATTATTGTGGTCTAAAACCAGGCGTTTCAGTTTCATTGTCCAACCCCTGTAGTTTTACATCTCCTCTCTCAGGCTTCTCTCTGGAGCTCTAGTAACAACAGGTCGGTGAGCCAATCAGAGGAGAGTAGGCTCTGAGTCTCTCTTCTGATTGGCTGACTGTTTTCTGAGTGATCCAATACAAATATAGCAGATTTCAGGTAAACACTCAGAGAAATCAAATCCTGCAAGGTTGGATGGTGGGTCCAGGTGGGTGGGGCTTGGGGCAAGGCTGAGGGTGGTGACAGCTTTGTTGTGATATCACACAATGTCCTGACGGCTGGATTTAAGGCTCAGTCTCTGAATACAGGCTGTGTGCATTTCTCTGTGGACTGAGCGCTTTGACAGTGTTAACAACACCTGGACATCTACCTTTAGACTACCGTATATGGGACCTTTAATATGAGTATAGGCATTTCTAAGAAGACAATCTCAGCCTGAACCATGGGTTTAGGGCATATTGGAAGCACATTATTGTTATATGCTCTGAATGATTCATATTGCTGAATAAATCCAGCAGGATTTCTGCAAGGCTCACTGTGTAACTTTACCATGTTAACTTGAGAATTGGTTTTGCTCAACAATCTTACAGACTGTCTCTTTTGTTGATTTAATTACAAGGTGACATTTTTATTCTGAACAATGTCACTTTTAAATAACCTTAAATATGCCCACAACAGATGGTTTTTGCTTCCTATAAAACTTTGTGCACATTAAATATTAACCTCCCACAAGATAAGAACCTGTGCCCACAACAGATAAATCTAGTTCCCACAGGAAAATATGTGTACACATGGATCTTGCTCCTACCTGATGATTATTTGTTTGCACAACAAGTATATCTTGTTCCTGCAAGATTGTGCTCACATCACAATATCTAGTTCCCACATAAAATTGTTGTTATTCACACAACACATAGATCTTGTTCCTACAAGATAGTAGCTTGTGCAAGTAATATATGAATATTTTTACACCATATGGATCTCATGGATCAAGAAAATAAGTTGTGTGCACAGCATATAATCTTGTTTTTACAAGATAATAGTGTGAACATAATATATGACTTGTTCTCAAAAAATATGAACTTGAGCTCACACAAGCCTGCGACACAAACCTAATATCTTATTCCCACAAGATAATATCTTATATGGAATCTTTAATATCCTGTTCACATAAAATTAAAATACAATCTTTGACTGTAGAACTTCATCACTTTCTTTCTGTCTTAAAAAGAATTTATGCAAATACAGGCTTCCATGCTGTTACCTCAGCTTTAACCTGTTAAACTCACTTTTTTCACAACTCTCCCTGTCATATCAAACCTTCCTTTAGTCCTTTAAAGTATTTGGAGGGAAGTGTAAGTTGAAAATACATGATGGATTATCTCTGCTCAGGAAGAAGGCCTTGTTTTCTACCCCTCCCACTTATTCTCTCTTTGTATGCTCTCCATTCGTCCCCATTCAGGCTAACGCCGACACATCAAAGCCTGCTAAGGCAGAACAGTGCCAAACCAGCTCTTTGTTGATGAAACCCCCCCCCCATTTCAGAGGACAAATGCTGTAAATAACATGGGAAATAGAAACAAGGGAGTAACTCTTATCATCTACTCTGCCTCAGCTTTCCTCTCTTTATCTCTTTTCTTTCTCCAGGATTACCTTCTGACATTTTATCTCCCCTTCAAGAATCCCACTCAAGTCTCTTGTGTGATTTTGATGAAAGAGTGAAGATGAGAAGGAGCGAGAGGAGGAGCAGATGAGGGAGGCGATATGTCGATACAGCCTGAGGGAAAGCTGTGATGGAGGTCAGCGACCTCTGGCCATGTCGAGATGTTCCCACGGGACAGAGGACACCATTACTCGCCTATTTGCTGGCACATTAACCCAAATAATCCCCTGTTGACATGAACTAGTGGGTCAGCATCAGATACAAGCTGGCAAAAGTCATAAAACCACAGCTACAACACTTTCACATAATATGATCAATTTAGTTTGAGGTCGTTCTTGACCAATCAGAAGAGATCAAACTTCCGTGTGTGTGTGTGTGTGTGTGTGTGTGTGTGTGTGTGTATGTGTGTGTGAGACTCTCTGTTCCATTTTCTCTGGAAAGCTTGTCCATCAGGACTGGGAGACAACTCAAAGGGGTGGAGAGAGACAGAAAATCCTTATGCATACATTTCAACCTAATCTCACCATGAAAGTCATTATCAGCGTCGCATATGCAAATAGAAAAATCTTTTCTTTCTTATCTTCAGATGTCGGCGGGAGTTCAAGACGAGCCCATTGTACATTCACGACGATGCTCTTCTCTTGTCGCTGCACATTTGTTGTTAAAATGTGTGAGAAAGTGATGACAGATTGTGTTTCCATATTTCAATTTCTTCATTTTTTTGCCACGGTTGTATTATTCTCACTGAGAGTTGTTATGAGTTTGAAATATGATCTGACTCTTCTAGATGCAACAACTGTAATGAATCGCTTCCTCCTGATCCGCTGATGGCTGCAAAAGACAGCGCAAGGAAGCTAGGAGTTAAAAGAGGGAGGATGGAAGGAAGAAAGGATGAGTTTGTATAGACAAGGCTGA